TTAAGAAATGTATGGAAGTCTCATTAGATATAATTCCTCTAATTTCATTACTCTGATCGGCAAGGACAAGTTTCCGATTTCTAACGTCTACCAGTATTTTATGGAATTGCAGAAAGTCAATGCCGATTATAGGAACGAAGACGTCAGCTATGATGAAGCTCCACGAAATATTGGATTTAGGACCGAAATTTAATTGTAACTGCCTTTTGCCGTACGTCTTGATCTCAGATCTGTTTTCGGCTTTGTGGTGTTTGAATAAACTAACGATTCCATCGTGCTTGTTGAATGCTTGATTTTGAATTCTAAATACAGTACGTTCGTTTGTGCTTGTCTAGTACTTCTTGATCCGATTACGTTATTTCTGGGATCCTTAGTTCATACTATAATTCAAATACTTTTAATTATCACAGGCTTGTAGCTTTAGTTTGAGGTCAGGTGTGTTTTTCTCAAGTGTATTGGGTGGTACTACACTAACCTCTGCCCTGGTGTCGACTAAGAACTGTGTTTCGGTTCTTTTGTCTGTAACATAACAAACGACTGTTTTGAGAGTTGTGGCCAGCGACTGCAGTCGCCACTAACCGACGGCCTTGACGTTCCCTTTGCTGTGTGCTTGCGAAGTTACAGGGAGGAGTACACCTTTTAGCTTGTTTACCGTACGTCCTATGGTACCAACAAATGTTATGTCTGGTAGTGCTTGGACTACGACGTCTACGGCTTCTGGATCTTCCTCTACACTTACTGTGGGAGGTATTCAAAAATTGGAGCTGGGCTATCTTTTTAGTGAGGACGTCAACTGTTCGTCGTAATTCAGCGATCTCGTCAGTTGAGCTCGATTGTATGTGAGATACGGAGTGAGTCCTAGACCGCTCGTAAATTCTATCGGCTATGTCCGCTAGCCTATCAAAATCGACATCTTCGTCTCCAATTGCTAGTATCTGTTAGATGTTTTGTGGGAGACGTCTGAGCCACAATTGATATAATGGACGTTTATCTACTAATAATAAATTTGTCATGTGGCGTTTTAATTGAGATGGTGTATTGTCACCCAGCTCTATATTAGCTAAAAGTTGACCAATTGTCTGCTGGTCAGTGAGAGATGTAACACGAATGACCTTTCTTTTTAGACAATCGTATGGTGAGTCTGGATCCGGCTTAAAAATGATGTCAGGCACTTGTTCAATAACGTCGTCCGGCAGCAATGAGTTTGCGTAAGCAAATTTCGTGCTCTGACTTGTTATTCTGTTTGCAACAAAATAGCTTTCTAAGCGTGCAAACCAGAGTTCAGCCTTTCGGGGATTAAAGACAGGTAAAGGTACAGAGATGGCACCCATGGGAATAGACTTAGATGAAAGGCTTAGTGAATTACCAAGTGACATGATACGAAGAAATAATAACAATAGCAATAGTAATAAGCTGAGAATTAAAATATAAAATATGAGGAAATCAAAAATAACAACAAGAAATATATGAGACTCACCTTGGGTTTATATAGGCGAATATACAGCAATAATTTCAAAGGAACAATGTTATGGGTGAATTTATTGACTGTCAATGAATTGTTAATAATTGTAATAGTAATTCCAATGTAAAGTTTTTTATGATTGGAGAATATGCAGCGGACAAGTTTGTAGAGAATTAGTCCATGTTCTAAATGCGGCTCACCAAGTTTGTAGAGGCGAATTTCTTCTATATCTGACTCTGATAAATGATATCCCGTTAACTGAGTATTTAAGGCAGGCTACATCTCCTAGTAGAATTATGGATTTACTTGAGATTATTCAGAAGCCTGAACATCAGTTGTAGATATATATTTATTGTTAAAGATCAATAAAATTCTCGAACGCACAGCAACCAAGTTCATAGTGAAACAAAAAGAGTGTGTGTGCGAGTTAAAAATCCATATATATTTATGAGTGTTTATCAATTGTGGATAAATTATTGATTATCTTTGTGTTACAACCAATGGGAGAATAGATTAAGGATTGATGTGCAGACACGTGCTCAATCATACACACACAGAAATTAACATAGTGAATTAAGTGTCTAAATTACAGTGAGTAGACAAATAATACAACAGTTGAATGGGCTTACTACAATGTAAATTCGAATGCATTAATCTCTAATCGACGCTATTTACTCTACTGTGGCTTATTAGGACATGTTCATATTTCGCTATTCTTTATCTTTATATTTTGTTCGCATCACAAACCTATTCTTGTTATATTCTACCCTACTTATTTTCACGATTCACTCCATTGTCATACCCATAAACGATTCATTACTCTGTTTTCACAGTATTTCGAATCGTTCATACGAACGTGTTATTTTATCGTCCAGGCAGTCACGACATAAATGCATGCTAATTTTTTGTACGCTTATTAACTTGTTTATAATCGCATGCTAACATTTTCTTTTTCGTCCACGTCCTTATGATATTCATGTACTTTTTTACATAGGTATCATACTTTTGTATTACACACTCACTCCTCACGCGATGCTGTACTCTATCAGATACATTAAATTTTTCCCGCTACTCATTGTCAACGTTATCCACGTACCTCTTCGGTGTTAAGTTCGAAAACACATTTTTTTCCAATAAATGTGCTATTTTATATATACAGGGGGACTTTGTAGGGGCTAGTACCATGTCAAACTCACATAGGTTATTCTAGCTTCAAAACATACCAATTTATTCATTCTCCTCAATCCACATTTCGACCTTGTTACTTATTGATCCTGACTGCCTCTATATGTGGGTTAATTACTTACCCTATTTATCATATATCTGTAACTTATTCTTGTCTGAATATAAATATTGATTAACGCTTGATTAAATGGAGTTGGTTTACATGCCTTCTCCTATCCGTCTCGCTTCGCTCTCTTCTCTCTGCTTCGTTTCTCTGATTGTCTGTCCAGATCCACGATTGTATGAAACATACGAATTTAAAGTTCATTCTCGCATTTGACTTATCTGATTCCGTTATTCATTAACGCAATTTAAGTCGTTAATCATATACGAGGGTCGGTGGTATGAATATTTCGATAACAAATCATCATACGATTTAATTGTAGTAAGATTTAGGGCCACTGCCTTGTGGATTAGACCTTTAGGTGTGACCTTTAATAAAACCGCCTGCTTTGGTTTGGGCACCCGGGTAGTACCACAACACTCACGCACATCAATGATAACTGCTACTGGCCTCATTGTTATTGTATGACGCATATGTATTTGGTGCCCTCTTGTACCAGTGTTTATGTGTTCAAATAAAAGAATAAACAAGACTGTACCCTTGAGAGACCAGTTCTAAACTCTATGATCTGATATACAGTGCGATGGGAATAGAATATTTATTGCAGTAGTCAAATGTTTATAGGTAACAAATCTTGGAGCATACAGTTATACATGTGAACGAATAGATAGGATGAACATAATTCATTACTCATCACTTAGTGATGTTAAAGGCATCCACAAACATAATATGAGACGATACCGAAATGAAAAATATCTGGTATGATAACATAAACATGATCCCAACTATGTGAATGAGTGTAATAATAGGACAAAAATGACACGAAAAAATTGAACTAGCTCACCGAAAGCAGGAAAATTTTACGTTATTAAATAATAAAAATAGTCCAGTGAGTCTCAAATGTCATAATACGAATGGAATATTCATAAAATCATAATTTGATGGGTGAACGATATAATTGGGTAAATGTCATGAATAAATGTCAGTACAAACAGCAACAATACTTTGACGTTAGGTGATAATATGACAATAATGTAATAATCAGAATATGATCATTACTTTAATCGTAACTGAATGATCCTCCAAACAGATCAGTGAGAAGAGTTGACACGAGGACAAAGTACCGATAAGATAATATGATTTAAGCATGTTCATGTCGCTGCCGTACCAGCTCCCCCAAATGCGTCTGATTAAAGATTGAGTCGTTTGAGTTGCCTGTCGATTAAGTCAGCCTCTTAGTTCGTTTATCGGATGCGTAGAGTTCAAGATGTTCACCGCCTGCGTAGATTTGCAGGGTGAGTTTAGTTCGAAGTGGGGCTTTACCACTTTAGTAGTGGTTTGATGAGATAATCGATGGGGTTGTCGATTGAGTAAGCTATGTTGGATCTGTTCGTCGAAGGTACGGAGTGCGGAAGGTTCTTCAACGTAGTTTGAGAGGCTGCGTTAGGTTCGTAGTGGGGTTCAAGAATTTAGTATCCTTATATCTGACTCCAATTAAATCGTATGATGATTTGTTGTCGAAATATACATACCGGCAACTCCCGTATATGATTAACGACTTACATCGCGTTAATAAATAACGAAATTAAATAAGTCAAATACGAGAATGGATTTTGAATTAGTATATTTCAATAACAATCATCATATGACATAACTGAAGTCAGATATCGAGTCACTAAAGTATTGAGCCCGTCGATAGCATTATCACACAATCTAATTGACGTCAAGATATAGGGCCAATAAAGTGATGAGCCCGACAACGAACCTGATGTGATTTAAGTCGATGATCATGGACGAGGGTTGGCGGCATGTATATTTCGATAACAATTAGCAAATGGTTTAATTAGAATCAGATATAGGGATACTGAACATCAAGGTAGTGTTGGAAAGTATGTGATTTAGAAATCAACACTAGTCCACTGCTGTTACATATCAAGTATTAATTCATATCAAAGCGATTGGATTTGTTTGAAGAAATGATTTGATTCTACGTTTTAAAGAAGTTATCAGACATAAACATAAATTACGTGACCTTATTGATAACTGGTTTTATCCCAGGAAAAAATAATTATACCTTGGTAATATGAAGGGCTTGTAAAGATTGTTGGGTTTTAAAGTTAATTTAAGGCAATTACCCATCAACGGTAATATTTCGGCAATGTCACGAAACTATAATATATTAGAAAGCCATTTGCCTTAATAAAGATAGTAACTCATAATTTAAGTACCATTTCATTAAAACTAAAGGGTCAAGAATTACATATTTTCATCATTAACTATCAATCACAGGTTTTACATGTTTCTATGACCATTTATGATAAACTTATTCACATGATCTAGAATTGAAGCACGATCATATTATTGAAATTAGTTCCAAATTTTGTCAAATCTAAAATAAAATGTAGCTTGACAAAAGTCAGTATCATTTATTGAAAATTTATAATTCATCATTTTCCTCAGGAAAAAATTTGTCAACAGGAAACATTGGACCAAGGTTTCATGCTAGTTGGCACTCTCCAGCAAGGTGTACCTGTAATCTTCAGGGAACTGATGGATTAGATTCCGTGTCACCCAGCTTCACAGGTGGAGACGTTACCACTGAGTTATCCGGGCCATGACCGACTCTCTGTAGGACAGATGTATTTATAATTGATTGATCAATGTCGAGTCACCTAGACTAGTAGCCACATTGTAACTCAGTCGATAGGATTCGATCTGCACTAAGAAAGACCTGACATACATGACATTGATCAGTGACCAATCAATTGTAAACAAATTCGGTAAGACATTGACTCATCAGGTCTTAGAAATGATCAACTCTTCAATTCCTAACAATAAGCAGGAAGTATAGAAAGAAGCTTTATCATGAAGGTTAGTTTATGTACAGAAAATGAGAATATTTATAAAACCATACATTACTTTGAAATTACGGGAGTTTCTGAAGAGCATGTTCTTTATCTGTGATTGAGCATATTTAAACACTACTGTTTTAACAAATTTACATTTTATTGTGATAAGTTTTAAGTTTAATTCATTCATTGTACAATACGTTGGGCAGTAATAGATTCCGAAATATTGAGATTTATTTCATTTTCTAACGATGTTACGTTATCTTAATGTTGATACCATTTAGCGGAGATCGTTATTTCATGATAACGGGATTTCGAATAATTGATACCCATCTGCTCGGCAACTATCTAATGGTAACCATTTTACAGACAGATAAGTCAAAGCATAAAATTGTATCAAGTTAAACACGTGGTACTTGGTAAAGATAGCAAATCAGTTGATGAGTATGTAAACCCTCATCGGTTGGAGTGGTCGGAACATGTATTACTAATGCCTAATCATACACTACCTCGATGCTAGCTAAGTTGTGCGTTGGATGGAACGGAGCTATTGATAGATGTAGACTACTTATTTGGGGTCCACACCACAATCATAATCAGTGGTTAGAGTAATGCCTCAAAACCAATTGCAATGGAGGAGCTGTATTTGTTGTTTATTACGCCTGTAAATATTGGTTTCTATTTCTATTTTTCATAATTTCTAATGCCAGCATAATCCAACCCAAGTAGGGATTGGGAGTAGACGACGCTATAGCATCCAAGTCTATCTTACTAAACAGCTCAGATAATTGAAAAGTCACAGTGAAGATAATGAAGAGGAAATCTTACAAGCTAATCCAATCTATTTGTGTAAATCAATTGATTTCTTTGGGCTTGTTTCTTGTTATTTTGGAACGGTCCCAGATCTTTGATGTCCAATGGATGGTAGTCCAGCCACTTGACTTCACTAGGTCTGGTCATTTCTGTAATTATTTGTGAGCTTGTGTATCTTGTAATCTGAATGAGTGCGTTTCAGGGCAGTAGGGTTTCTGGAACCAGAAGCTATCACATTACTAGGCAGGAGGTTGGTTGGCTGCAATGCGAAAAATGATAAAGGAAAGCATTCGAATCCAGAAAAGTGGAAAAAATGATCAGAAGAATTAAATAAATATATAATCTAACTGATCAGTAATGGAGACAGTCGGACAAGAACGAAGTGTAAGGAAAAAATGTGTACAAAGATGATGATAAGCGAGTTACGAATAAGCCGACGATATGTGACAATGTTTCAAGTACAACTAGTCCAATAGGGAGATGGTAATTCATGGGTGACTAAGCGTTTATGATCTCCACTTGAAGCTATCTACTGAATGGGAGCATGTGAGCATCGGTGGGTTAGTCTTATCTAGGAAGTCGTTAATAAAAACCAGGAAGAGAAGTGGACCTAAAATGGCTTTCTGTGAAGCTTCTGATATATCTTTACTTTGAGGAATCTTCGGTTCTCCAAGGGATTCTGGTGCCAGGATAAAAATGACTCAAAAAGCACATTGTTGTAACCTTCATCACAATGTGTGTGCGCTACTGTGTCGAATACCTTGTGAAACCGATGGATATTAAATGAACAGGTATGTTTTATTCCCAGTAGGGTGTTCAGCTATCTCGCTCAAGTAGACTAGTCTATTCTGAACTCTCGTTGGGCTTCATGAAGAATGTTGTATTTGTTCAAGTAGTCTGTCCCATACTAGGATGGAATGGCCGTCTAGTGCTCCCAAGCTTTCAACAGTGGTCTAACTTAAATGGACTCATGAATTCAACTGTTAAAGTTACTACAATCTTCACAAATCCCAATTCTAATCATATTTATTTTTATCAAATTATCAAGAATACAATCATAAATGAGTCAGATCTACACAGTATATACACAGAACTAAAACAAGAAATTTTACAATTCAAAAATCTCTGATCATTTTATTCAATAATAGTTACTCGATAACCTGCTGACAGTCTATCCATCCACCCTACACAAAAGGTCAATCGTATGACAATATTTTCAAGCCAATCAGAATCAAGTACACTTATCATATTTTAATAAGATTAAAACTATATATATATATATATATATATATATATATATATATATATATATATATTACATGCTATAATAGAACATGCACATTTATAAGTTCAATTACATAGTTTTAGGGGTAAGGAGCACAGATACAAAGAGTAGGGTTTGTCCAGATCATAGAAATGCTAAATTGTTTTTATATTATAAATAAAAAGTGTTACTCGATTCAGTGAAACGAAATAAATATTTTTTAAAAAAAGTAATTGTTTCAATTGGTAACTAAAACAAAACAAGGGTAACAAAGCAAAGAGAAAATAAAAACGGGACAAATGAGTTGATATTAGCAACATACATATACATATCACCATAGTACAATCACTGTTATTTCCATCTCTTTTTTTTCCGTCTTCCTAACATTAAATATCAATTTACAAAATTCCTTAAAATTGCTTTTTTCACTGGAGATGGTAAGTGGATTTGTGAAATGCAATTTTGAAATAATGTATTGTAACTGTTATTGCTAGTTGTCAATGACAAATCATTATTATGATATTGATGTTTAATTGAGCGATGCATAGTTTTCTTCAAAAGATTTTCAACAACACATTTTCGGATTGCATGAAGACATTGTGTACCAAGACGAATTGATTCAGATCGTGTTGTAAATAGAAGTACATCGTGATTATTCGTACTGATGAGAAAAAAAAACCATCAATAGTTTAGTAACAATCAAAATTAGTTTGTTTGTTTTTATTATCAATAAAACTGTGGCTTGTTTAGCTGGTTTATAGAGATCAATTCAAATAGAAGTGGACAATACGAGCTGAAGAACCAGGGTAAACGAGAAATTATTTGATGAAAAACTACTGAAGTTAAAAGTCAACATTTTAGGCTATCAATTGATAAAGCAATAATTTCCCTACCATAGATCTCGGTTCATGATGCTACATTGTCTGAATAATTTTATGGGGCAGTCAATTCCGTCGTTGAACCAATCAACATAAATCACTTATTCATTTATAATATAAAGTTGGTTTAAAAAGAGGTGCGTGTTTCTGGCCAAATAATTATTCCGCGTGCGGGATCGTGGATGCGCATTGCTGAGGAGTATCACACCAGGATAAAACGGCTATCCAATGCTTCCAGGTTTTCAATGGTGGTCTAATTTAAGTCAATTCATGACTAATAAAACTCAACAATCTCCACAACCCTTAACTGTAAATTACAGTATATTGCAGTCACCAGTCAAGTATTGTTTTTTGATATTTATAAGGCTCAATAAGGCATAAAACAACAGGGGAATAGCGATTGTATTAGTTATCGATTCATGTGTTATCACGGTGTAAATCTGTTTTTATTATAAAGTAAAAAAATATACTTGACCGTAACAGCACTAAACACCTGTTTCTTTAGCTTATGATTGTTCCAAAGTGTGCACCACCTAAGGAATTGAACTCAACGAAGTTTCAAAGTCAAGGTGATACTCATTTAGGTCAATCAATTGGAATTAAATCCCCCTCATTTTCAACTCGAATTCTTGTTGTGTTATGGTTATATGGTCACATAGGAACCAAGGTTATATACCAAGAGTCATTGATATATCAGCCATAATGGTTGTGATAAAATGAGTTTCTGTCAGATTATGTGATCAGTGTAGCATCTAGCACTATATAACGCCTACATTGGTTGTCCTAGCTTTTGAGTCACACTTTGACCTTGTCAATTATTCGCTTATAACGTTGATTGTCTTTATATGAGCGTGTGTTTATCATTGACCTTATTCATAACATGTCTTTATCTCATTTTTGTCTGGCTAAAAAGAGAGTTGGCACGATTGCTTTCTCCAGTCTATTTCGCTTCACTTTCCCACTCCTCATTTTTTTATGTCTGTCTAGTTAAACGAGTGCATGAAATGAACTCATCCACTTTAGTCCATATTTAACTTTTTATTATCGCCATCACTAAAACAGGATTAGCCTAAACGTAATATACATTTATATTCATGGCATATTCATTCGTTTTGTTTTTCAAATTGGAGTCAAATCGACATAGGCCAATAAATTGGTGAGCCACCATATTATTGACAAAAAATGATTAAAATTTCTATTGTATAGACTGAAGTAGGATATATAAGCGAAGAATATTTTCCTGTTGTCAATCAGGCTTTACTCTTTTAAATCCAGTTACTTTATTACTACTACACATATGCGCGACACGCATTTAACCAAACAAGGAAATCTAAGATTCAGTGATATGGATTCTACAGCTAAAAATTAATGGTAACACATTGTCATAGTTATAACAATAGTGACAATACTAACGACATTATAATAAAATAAATATTTCTATATTCAAAGTAGGTCAAAATGTAAGCGGAAAAATTAAATTGATTATCAATAACATATTAAGAGGTCAATCAGACAAAACAGACACAATTGAAACGTTAAGGCATAAAGAAGGTTACAATAATTGTAAACTATAAAATTCAAAAATTTCTAGAAACGTCTATATGTATTATTAATAATTATATGCCGACTAATGATTAATTCAAGGAGGTGATTCCAAAAGCTCTAGTGAGAAGCAGTGGCCAGTGGTGTTCACCTACCAATAGCATTGGAAGATGAAAATACAGTATCGTAAATTGATTGAAGTCAGACATGTTAACCAGGAGAAGCCAATTCAATAAGTTGAAGACAAAATGCTCGACAAAATACCTAGAGGTCTCGAGTTACGTCCTTGGTGAGGTAGTGGATGTACATAGATGGAGAACTGCATACTAGAACGAAACAGCTTTTACGAGCTTCCCAATTTTTAATGGTTTTCTAACTAAATTATTTCATGATGTAAATTCCGAAATTCAACAATCTTTACAAACTCCCTTTACTGAAGATAACAAAATCTGGGAAGACGAGTCAGAAACAAGATTATCAGAACAGATTGAAATAATTTTAAAGCAGCTCACTTTTACATAAACAAAGCGCTCATGGTCACGATGTTGTTGTTGCTCAGAATGATAATTAAACCCTATCCATATCAACCGACACAACACCAGCACAAAGAAACCACTTAAGCTACAAATATTTGCTTTCATTTTAAATACAACAGTAAAACTTGATGAATTTCACTCGAAGGATCATGATTATGTACTGTGGATGTAATATGAAACGTTGATAGTACAAATGACTTTAGATACCTAGGCGGATGAATATAGTACAAAACCTAAATAGCTGAGGTTCTCTGTAACGTTTTCAATGTGTTCTTATCAGTAGTTTCGATCATTTTTTCGTTCATTTAATAGATGAGTGTGACATATCAGGCTACAATTTTCGTTATAGATTTTATTTTAAGCGAGTTAAGGTTATCCTAAAATGTCTGTCATGAACATGTCTAGTGTAGAGGTTCCTTGATATGCCAAATAAAAAAAACACAAATTTAGTGTACAATAGGGATTGAAATAAACTCTGATGAAAATAACACTATGATATACAGCGTTCAGTTATTAAATTCACAGAAATAAAGCCAAGAGTGTTGGATACAACACACTTATTGAGCATTAAAAACGTTTTTGATAAATTCAACCTATCAAATGTAAAATTCTGGTATATAAAACGACTCATTTCTTAACTATTAAGTTGTTTTTGGGTTAATAATTCAGGCTTGTGAGCAATTATTATTCAGTTATACTGTTTAAATTATTCTAGAATGATTGACTATCAAGTCTACAACAAAATTGCTTTGTTATAACACTTAAAAATTTAATTCATTCATGCTTGGAAAGCCTTATTTTACCTAACATTTTTACTTTCGTTAATAAATTTAAGTTTCGACAAGTGTAAAGAGGCTCTCGAAAACTTTATAATACATATTACCGCACTGACCCTTTTTATTACATAATTAGTTAGTTTCCCCTGGTAATTGATGCTTGTCATGTCCTGATATCATAGTTATTTTATAGTAAACGGACTTGTTATAATATAATTTTAACTTTTTAGAATATTAAACTGATCATGAAACTTCATGTCTTCTCTTTTTAATCATGTAAGTGATTATTATCGTTGTTAACGTATTGTAGGTAATAATGGTCATGATCTATTGAACAAGTATATCCCTCTGGTATTGGAAAACGTCTTCTAACAGTTGATAATTCAGAATATTTGTAATTTATTTCAAAGCATAAAAGTACGTCATGTACTTATGATATAAGCCGATCAATGCTTACTTTTTTGAGTAAGCCAAAATCACAAAATAACTTGAATGAACATATATAATATTGAAGAAGTAGATTATGATAAGATTCATGATTTAGAATTCTATATATATGATTATTATATACGGTTTAGTAATGAATCAACATTACATGTCCTTATTATAAAGAAACACACAAGAACTTACGTGACAGCAACTATACGACCACATGGGCTGAAAGCTAAGCTACGAAATTTAAGATTAGTATGAGTTTGGAGTGCAAGTTCGAAATAGATCTTCAATGGAGAATTGACAGGAGCCAATGGCCATAAACGAATACATCTATGGAGGAGAGTGGGAGCAAACAAATAAATGAAGGGAACTATGTGTATGAAATGAATAAAAGACTGTACATTTCCGTTGTTATATTGAACTGTAAAAACAATCACTGGATTATATATGGTAATTTTCTATTGAAAAGTATTGAACACATGAGATATTTGTATGCACATATTATATACTGTATAGAGCATAGGTAATAATTTTCGAATAGTGTTAGAAGTATCAGGCGAGTTGCCATTTCCTGATCATCCATACCGTTTAAGGAAAATTCTTCTAAAGAAATATGAAGATAAAATTGGGTTAGGAGTGGTCTTGTTGACCAGGAAGTATGATCGCATTACCCAAGGAACATCTGGTTGAAAGTGGTCATAATATGTCCTTTCTGTGTATAGTTTTAGATGCATTAACTATGTACTTTTAAGACTATCACCTGTAACGTCAATTCGTGGGACAAATTAAGGTATGGTAATGTTAGGACTGGCTTTTTCTAACTTCCGCCTTTTGTTGTGTGAAAACAAAATATATATACATATTAGTTGTCTGGATGAAAACACCTTACTGCCATTACACCCTAGTGCGGTATGAGCTCGTCTTCGAAAGAGTTTGTTGCTCTTATTTTTAAGAGTCTCTTCAACTAACTTGTCAGGTATGGTGGGATCTAAAGGAACGAGTGCTTCAGGTAATATGGCTCGATTGGGTTATTATGACAAGCAAGCCCTACTACCAAGCCAAAGTCGTAATTACGGTTAGGAGAGGAAAATCAGGAGGCTATTCGTTCCGAAGCACCATTTTTCTACTTGATTATGCCGTGATTTGATAAATTACCGAGTAAATTGAACTAATGGTCTAACATACATGTTGTAAGTCTCTTAATCTTCAGTCGAATAGATTCAAAAGGATAGAACCACTAACAAACTGGCTGATGCAGTTACGAGGAACGTAGAAACTGGCATATATGTGTATCAGTCGAACTTGCCACACCATATCACTACTGAGAAATGAAATTATCAAGACAAATACAAAAGTAATAGAAGTAGTAACAGTATCAGCGTTAATAGGAAAGATTAGGTATAGAGAATATGATCCAAAGAGAATGGATTCTTGGAATGAAAACTACTTGCCTATCTTCGCAAACGGTAATAAAGTAAAAATCATCTGGGGACAGAGATAAACCGTATATATGATGACCATTTGATCCACCACGAAGAGGAATACTGGGTTCACGTCCCATATGCCTAAAAGAACAGAAAAGAAAACAAAGATATTAGTGATGTTTTAAGTGGATTACTGTCGTATAACTGAACAAAAATGGACGAATAGTTGTTTCAATGGGTGCTCATTTTCGGGACGTTATTTCAGTTAATTCAAAGCTTGTAAAACAATAACATTTATTTTTGTCCCTAGTCTGTTCTACACATCATAAACTTAGTTTGATATATGATTCACTGTCATAGCCCTTTTCGTTCCAAAGCTAGTATAATTTAAACGTATTATTTTGTACCATATTTTCTACCCTAATTCCCGGGGTTTGGATATGATTGTGTTTTCCTAATTATTGTGCGTTGTGGTCGGGTTAGTCATCTATTTATTCACGTATCTTTTAACACCGATCTAAAATCGGGAAATCGGGAATAGATCGAGTAGTGTTCCAGTTGTCTTGTATTTTCTCACTCGCGTGCTTGTCAGCCAGTCAGGTGATAGTATTGTTTTCTTCTCTCAACCCAACTTCGAACTCACGCGTACTAGCCTTAAGGTTAAGCCGGTCAGCCTAATGCGTCAAGGTCTTAATCTAGATTAGACAAGTTATCCTCAGCACCAGAAGTGGGTAGACAGATCAAGGACGTAACACATGGAAATATTTCTCCACGTTACCACTTTATAATACTTCCATGCCTGTTGTCGTTATTCTACTAATCTTCACTGATATGACATAAAGTATGTATATTGGTTATAAATAATCATCAGCTGATGGAAGTTCACGAAATGAGTTCATCTTATTCTGCTATGTTCTTTGTTATTGTTTTGTTCAGATTTTAATGAATACTTATATGTCGGCAAACGTCATTGTAATGCTATTACTTGAACTGAAAGTGAAAAAAACTCTTTAAGGAATAGTGTGGCTTTGTTCCTTTCTTGTGTGTGTGAGTATGGGTTAGGTTGAAACGTCTCCATATTTTCTATTCGTTGGAACTCCACGTGATATGTTAAATCTTTACCTCCCTCCTAACAGCCTGTATTTTTGAAACTCAAGCGTTTCAAATTCATGAGTGTTAAGCAGTCAATAACTTGCAAGTGAATCAAACAACAAGACATAACACCAACTGTTGATCAATATGTTTGGGAAATTACTTACCAGAAACGATGTAAGCATTGATATTCCGGTACAGACCATACAGCACAACATGAATCATAAGAGGCAGTAATTAATAAACTACCATCTTTTGAAAATTTTGCAACTGATATTCGATGATAATGACCAGATCGTATGTAGGCGACTCGAGAAAAAGGAGATTCAGCCTTGACAAATAAAAGAATAATGGGTTAATTAATAACATCAACTCATTCACCAGATACTGCAGTATGAGCCACATTCTGAGTGTAAGGGTTAATGATAGTACCTACTTGCTGAAAGCAAGGTGAGTGAGATTTAGAGGCTACAAATCGAACGCCCTAACCTCTAAGCCATCACTCCAATGGGTACAATGTGTTCACTATTACAACTGCATTAATTGTTCGGCAAAATTAAGATAATCATTATAAGGTGATTGATAATCTAATCCTAATCGAAAAAATGTTAAAAGATGGTGATAGTGTAGTGAACGAGAACATAAGTGGGGACAATCAAATTTATTTGAATACAAAATTACAGAACATCTTAGTAAAATCTGAGAACCATAAAGTAAATAGTTCATTTACAAAACGTCAACCAATAGTCTCAGACTTCATTGTTCATTTCCATACCAATTATTCTTTGTTCTCGATCTCTTTTCTTGGATCTTCTTAACCTTCTGCCTCCAGGCATTTCACTTTCGACTAATGATACATATTACTTATATCTGTCGACATCAGTAGCACACTACAATAAAACATACTGGCCTATTCAAATAAATATACAAGCTGAGATTAGGAAGACGTTATCTCACGAATTGGAGGATACCAAAATTTTATTGCTTTTAAAATACTCTTCAAGTGCAGGCAGTACATTTGTTTAACTTCCATTTCTAATAATTCAAAACATACCTCGTAATGCCTAGAAGTCTGAGCTACTAAATGGCTTATTGTTTTACATCGTTACTCAATCCAAAATGTTTTGCCATAATCATGTATGTACGGACGACCTTTCTGAATTCAATTTATGATTAAACAGCCCGGATGGTGACTCAGCGATTGAACTTCAGACGCCCGAAATCATACTCTTGAGATCCCCAAGCCATTTCACCCATCGTCTTTGTACCGTTTAAGTACCAGGCTCACATAATCACTTAGTATACATATAAAATCATATGACCGACGCAAGGATAATAAATGTAGTCAATTGAAAAAAAGAGACACATACACCAAAAAGTAATAGGAGAGTGAAACAGAATGAGTATTTAGGAGTAAGTCATACATGTAAACAGTAATTATAACTTTGAATTACTGGTTATAAAATATACAGAATATGCCACCAACCTCAAACTGACCAAAGATGATGGACATTTACATGATTGTCTGCGTCAATGAATTACATATTAGATAACAGAGGAAGAGATTAATGGTGAATTCGAAATGAAGGACACAAGGGATTATCATTACTACTATTATTATTAACTCATTACCAGGCACAGATTCTTTACTTGGCTACGAGCTACTGTTATAACTTGTGACCTGTGTGCCCTGTTAATGTATAACGTAACGATACCGCTAATTAGAGAACAATGAATCATCGATCGGACCAATGACGCATAAAACCCGTACGAGCAGTCTAGAGTCCTTATTGGTCCTGTTTAGCCCCTAGCCCAGCCTGTTAAGTCCAGAAAACCGATCTCAGCCTCTGCAATAAGAATCATTTATTTCAAACATACGGGGTTTATATACTAATCAAACAGACCACATCGTACCATAAAATAGGAAACAACATCTGTACAAGATTTAGCCCAATGTGACTGTGAATGTGGGAGGTAGTGATTAATAGACAGGGCATAATTCAAGAATGGTAAGTCGTATAATAAAAGTTAATAAGCCAAAATAAAGCACATAATAAGAGGGACATGAATATGCACAGTTTAGTTACGTAACGATTATACGATAAAAATATACGCATAGTATTGGTCCATAAATGGATCCCAAAGTTACCATTCATTATTCTTATCGGGACATAACAGCCATACATTAAGTGCAGTCGCCCAAACTAACTACGTGGGATAATGTGCAAATCTGGGACTTAGTGACTGCTAGTCGAATTCGTTAACCATCAACGCAAAAAGTAACATCTCCAGATTATTACACTTCATCTTTATCAGTGTAGTCCATTTTTAGTTGGCTTTTAGTGAGATAGAAATAACAAAATATCAACTGTTTAAGGAATGATGAACGACTGACCAGTTATTTATTTTTGTCGCTACATGTGTAACCGTTAAAAATACAAATACAAGTACTATATAGATATGCACATTGAATAGATATTACCGATTTCTTATTTTTGATTGCATGTCCACAAGGAGAAATCATGTCTCTTCATGAAAAAAGTGAAACCTGATAATTAGTTTACAACAGTGACTAAATTCATTTGGTACAACAATAGGAACAAATATATTTATTGTGAAATGTTCTATTTCCAAATATTTTATTAGAATCTGTCTCGGAAAGAAGCGAACTTTTAAGCTTGTTCTCTTAGGTCCCATAATGCTAAGCAGGTCAGTTGGAGAACAGTTAGACTAAAAGCAACGTGTCTCGTGGGCGCATCCGTACTGTTGACTGTACAAGGGTGTGACAGCAGCAGCATATCTCCCTTAGAGAGCCAGCATCTGCAGCAATGCTGTCTTCCCAAAACCGAAGGAAGAAGTTATAAACGGTCGATCCTAGAACTGTCGCACCTTAGCCTACCATATGGATTTTGGTTTCCGGTGGAAAGGACTTTGAAATGTCGAGATAACACATCAAAAACCTGCTATAGAATCGTCATGCATGACCGGTATCAAATATTTGTGTCCTGAGTTCTGTGATCATCTTCCCAGGTCGCTGAGACCACTACAAATCCATTTTCCATTGTAGATACCCCAAGAAGAAATATGCATCCACAGCATGGCGATTGGAAAGCGAGAAATACTCTTATAGCCCTAGCAACACGTGGCATCACATCTGCCTGTCTTTTAAACTTGAAAAGAACGACAGGAAAATCAAAGTTAACCATCTTACATCGAGTACAACACCATGGCCTCTTTCACCAGCTAGGAATACATGTCTGCCGCATGGATGCCAAGCAAATGTACATGCTTCACCTTGAATTTCACTGCATGGTTGATCTGTTGGAACAGTGAATTTATGTTGTAATTTCCCGTACATATTACCATCATCCCATAAATCCCATAATCTCACTTCACCACCACGATGTACGGATCCAACACGAAGACTTCCGTCTACAGCAGCTGAGAGGAGATATACAAGGGTACAATCATCTGTCAAGACATATTTGGGGATATCTATAGAAAGACATCAGAAAACATGAACTCAAAGTTGATATGTACAGTTACTAAACTTTAAAAGAAACAAAAGTTATAGTAAACTAAAATACTAATTTGTTCAACAAATCTCTATACAGAGGTCAAAAAGAATTTATTTAACAAAATTAACCGTGTAGACCCTGGACAGATTGTCTAGATCTACTAACACAGTTCACTTCAACTATAAATAATTCCGTAAAATGATGTAGCGTTTCGGATCGTCTATGACTAGCTTTCTTTTAAACTACTCTCACTACAAATCATATTGTGCACCAAGAAAAGTAGTAGTTGGGCATACGGAATACATATCCTTAACACTTCGATCGGTGAAACTTCACAGCCTTATCAATTGATTGTCAACAAAGCACGTATGGAGTGTAGTGATAAAACAAAGCTGATCTAAAAGATGTGATGTTTATGTGGAATATCACTACCATAAATGAAGAGCTGAAACACTTTCTTACGTGGCTTAAGATCCAGTTAGAATCTCATTTTAATATAAGCCTAGGTGAAAGACAATCATGTTCTTCTGCAGTCAGATATATTATAAGTGAAGCGTGGTGAAGAGCGGTGTCCGAAATTCGGTACTGATACACGGTGTGCTATACGCTGACCTCCAACTAACTACTTTAGCAAGAACGAGAGTGATCGAGGAAGTGTACTGGGCTACCGAATGAGATGTACAGATACTAATTCGTACATATACCACTCTATCCTTAGAAAATTGACTCACTGATCCCAATGCAATGCATTTAACCATTAGGTCACTTCTGGTTGCCAACGATTGGCATTTTGCTGCTTCTGATTCGCTCTCCATATCAGAACGATCATAAGATTGGCATGAAAACAGCCTTTAGATTCTCGAAAATGCATTCCTAAGTTTTGGTTATTAAAACATTTATCATACTAATGTGCTTAGAATGATTTCTCATCATCTTCAGGTCCGTCCTGGTTCATTCGGTTACTGTGTCTTCAAAATTTTGTACTTCTATTATCACTACACATTTACTTGACCTTAATTTGCTTTTATATAAAATTTCTTGACAAGTAAATTTGTGACCAAGTTTCTCTAAAATGTGTTTTTATGAAATACATTACATTTTTCAAAAAATACTTTCACGAACTGATATTATGCAGTCTTCTTTTAGCTGCCTTTAGCTTTCTTCAAACTTATTACACACGACTACTGCACGTCTGGAATGTAGTAACTGGGATGTGTTGTTTAAGTCTAACCCTAACTCAGTTGACCAAAGTTTACAGTCTTAGCTTGAACATTGATATTAATCTCAGAACTACTTAGTCGGTTGTTCTGTTAAACGAAAGCAGTACAGCGAAGCACTTTTTCTTCTTCGTTTCTATGGGACTCTATATAGCTTTATAATCAAACTAAATACACGATACCCAAATGTATAACAAGGAATAAGTGGGTGAAGTAATTATTAAAAGTGAATAAGTCTTTTACTCATTTAGAAACTAAAATACAATAAATTTGGCACCTAGAAGATGAATAACAGTTTTTCAGTGTTCAATTCTCTTCGAGGTATATACATACGACCAAGGTAAAAGTAAATTTACAATCTTTTACAGATATCAGTACATAAAAGTGAACACAACATACTGAATTGGTTGAAGTCAACTGAGAGATGACATAACAGGACAAAAAGGCAAAATAATATCTTCAACTCATCGTGATTCTTATTAAACATTACTTTCGTTATTTTAATTCTATATGATGATTATGCAGTGCGCTATTCTATTTAGTTTAACGTTAATCTACTTCAGTGTAATATTTATTTAGGATATGATATTCTCTGGATAAAATTAACGTGAACTATTCAGCGTGAAATGCCGCATGCGATTTAGCTATAATTTTATATATGTGACTGTTTACTGATTGATGATCAAATATGTATAAATGAGTGCATTTTCGACTAGAGTCGTAGTTTTGTTTTCGGTGTGAACAAACCTCAACTTATACCAGTCTTTCATGTTCTTACTTTGAGTCATGGAAATTGTAGTGGTTCCTCGTTCCACGAATAAGTAATAAGCGACTCAGACATAACAAGAAATTACAGAGAACTCCTCTATTACGAAATCAAATAGTATGTAGTACGAAATATACTAGGATATATGAAATGAAACCATCATATTTATTGAGGAGACAGTTAGAATATGTAAGTCAAATTAACATACTAAAGAACAAAAACAAGACTTACGTGGAGAACTTGATACTAGACTAAATACATTATAAACTTCAATGACACCAGAAGCTAAACCCAACAGTAATAATGAGACTTGTGATTCACGAACAATAGACGATCTACGCTTATTTGCACGGTGGGGCAATCGACAAAATGCACTATCCCCAGAGGCAAAAGTCATACTAATCACATCTCCGTTAGTTTTTATACGAAATATTGGTTTCATATTTACAGGTAGTGCATCACCATGTAACAGTTCTGACGTTAATATTTTCCAGTTATTACTACTATCTGTAAGATTTGCATATAAATTTAATGATTCTGTATTGTTAATAATTTCATCTGACAATAAACTAGATGTTTGACAATGAGATGATAAAGATGGTTTGAAATTATTTTCATCCAAGCACGTTGATCTATGTAGAGTAGCACAAAATAATAAACCGTCAAGCTTGTTATTATGGAGGGTTTGTGGAGATTATCAAAATCTAAAGTTTACATAACGGATTGACATTAGTTAGATAGTAAACAGACACGAGGAAGAACTGCACAGGTATAATTAAGGTCAGTCTATGATGCAAAAAATAAACTTAGTGGTTTATTATTGTTGTTATTATTCACCAGAAGAATGAGGAAAGTCTGTAATATAAGTTAATGCACAAATAATGCAGAATCCCATTCAAGTCTTTGAATATTTTATTCAGGTAGTTTAGTAAGGAGTTTTATCAAATTCAACAGTAATATTCACCATCAATTAACACTAACTGAAAAACTGAAGATTTAAGGGCACACTGAAGGTGACTGGAAAATTCGATACTGTATGAAGTAATGTCTTATAAGTAGGATAAAACAGTTGTGTGCCTCCTAGTCTTCGCTTGTTCTACAACTGATATTGACTAGTTTTAGAAAGTACATTCTAAAATTTTTAGTCAAACATTTTACAGTAGCTGCTTGAATCATTAAACCGTTGGGCGACGTAGGATAGTGTGAGTTAATGTAGCGAATTAAACTAACGATGGTTATAGGAACTAAAAGAACGGTGTATATGCATTATTGAATCTCCATCTATCTTTGTATTTATTGATAAAACAACTTTCATAAAATGTCTAATTATTTCACCATATGATGTTGAATGTAAGTTTACAATGGTGATATTACATAGCTACAAGTAGATTTTGAATGCAATTGTGTAAATTCTGTACCAAATAGTTTATGTATTTAGCTTTGAGTCACCCCGGTTGTATGATAGTGAATGATAAAACTAACCAACGGATTGAACTAAAAAGGTGAATCATCCAAGGGAAAGGATTCTTTAAGTTTTCGAAACAACACGTTTATAATACTACTTAGCAACAGTGACTACTTAAAATTAACAAATATTTTCGCTGAAATTTACACGAACATTATTGTTATAAAGGATCTGGGAGTTTTCACAAAAGGAACTCACGAAAACAGTCTTAATACAGAGTATACACAAGAAAAGAAATATTCAACTAGGGGATAGTTAAAGCATATATATACATATGAGCCAGAAAAACTTACAGTATGTCATTTACACAGTAACCCAAGACAATCTGTGGCTGATCAACAAAGGCGAAGAATCGACCGCAATTAGAAAAACTGCAACTGGTGATATTATTTTGGTGAGCACCATGGTAAGCTATTGTTAAACGTAAGGGAATTTCATTAAAATCTGTACGCGAAAAGAAAACATGATGGTATTTTATAAAACAATAAAATTTCTGAAATGTTAAACAATAAAATGAAAGGTACAGTGATCGAAATGATTTACTAATGAATGAAAAGATTAGTAAAGATAGACGTATTCAGCGATGGGATTACTTTTTTTCGGAATTAGAAAGAAATTGAGAGAAACCTAACAAGAAACGACTCACTAGGAAATAGACTAATGATATGGCTAAATGCGTTTAATCTTTGGTATACGAAATAACACCATAGACAGATAACGCTGCACCGAACATGGACACAGTACTGAAATTAGAAGCTCTTCTGGTCAGTAATCAAACATTGGAAAGGACCATAGCATACAACGTCATTCCTATTTCTATGGACTAATGTCGAAAACTGATGACTGACAAGGATGGTGGGTCAGTGAGAATTTATTAGCTGAATCGTTGGTTAGGTTCTAATACATTATTCAAAAGATTGTCTAGTCGTGCCGCTTAGTTGTACACGTGTGATTAATAGACTGAAGTGTCTTTTGTAAACGAGAAGACACAAAAATTACACAATCTTTTTTCATTCCATAAATTTCCTCTCACTGTGTTGATGTAAGGTGTGGTAGCTTAGATTAACGCACACTTATCTAGTCTCGGGTTACCCGTAATAAACTAACACCACAAAATTTGGATAAATAGCTTAGTGGTAAGAGGGTTTGATTCCCAACCATAAAGCCACGGGCTCGTATGTCGCTCCGCCCATTTTATACGGGAAGCCAAGTAGTACTACCGACCCCTGGATGTGGCTTAGATTCAAATATATATCTGGAATTCCACAATCAGTTAAATTAATTACCGACTGAGGTTATAAATTTATAAAGTAACTATCTCCATAGCCATTGAAGTGATATGATAACAGTAATGTTCATTCTGGCCCTTCAATTTGTAATCCATGAGTCAGCTGGTTGGTCATAGATGTGTATTAGTTCGATTTACTGAACTTTACATCAACAAATAAAAGGGTCAGGGCCTCAATCTCTATTAACAGATTAGCCATCTTAAGCAGATACTGTGTACACTTAACACTACTCAATGGGTGAATCTAAAAGTGAAGTGCTACATACTACTGTGACAAACTTTTAATTCATTGAAACACTGCGATGTTAACAGAAGTGATGAGATTTTTGAATTATAGGTATTTTGGAGAAGCTAATCACTTTGCAGACCGAGAAGCAGTCTTAACTCTATATAGTGTTACTAGTCACAGCTAAAATATTCCACCACAACCATTGACATTTTAGTGGTAGATATTGTCGGAAAAACTATTCTTGAAGAAGTACGACCTCAACTATTATTTGCTCGACTTATTTTTCGCTAGCATGATACATGGCAACGTTAAGATGAATAGTTCGAGCATTTCGTAAGTCTTATTGAAATATTGTGAACAATAATTCTACTGCAGTGTCCTCAAAACAGATTCATTACCTAGCTGTACAGTCGCATATAAAATAATGAGAGACTAGTTTTCATGTTTTTAATGTTCAGATGTCATTGTCAAAAGTGTTTCAAAATTGTGTAACCAAGTCTACGATTAGCTAAAAAACGAGACAGAAATTTGAGAGTGAGTGAAAACAAACGTTATATTCTGAACCAATAGTTTCTTGATTCTTAAATTCAAAAAGATTGGTGTATTGAATACAACTTGAAGTACACGAATTCTCCTGGAATAAACCTCTGATTGTCACTACAATATGAAAATATTTTTTAAATTTATGCCTGATGCTGAAAATAAGCCAGAGAAGTTAATGAAGAAACAGAAACAACCAACCATTGCCAACCATTCGCGAAAACCACCCAAAAGATTATAGTGGCCTTGCAATTATAAACCACCCTCTTCGAGTTTTCAATGACCAATTGTCAGAGCTTCTTTGTGAAGAATTAGATTCAGATTTGTGTAGTAAGGACAGAAGGCCTACGGCCCATGTCATTCCTTTTCTAGTATGCTTCTGTGAGTGTCCAGTCTTCCCTTGAAAGTGTCAATTGAAGGTGCGGACATCAGTGCTCCAGGGAGTAGGTTCCAAGTATTAGTGACTCGGTGTGAAAACCTGTATGCCATGGGTATTTTGTTCCTTCTTGGCTTTTCTACTCGTCTGATATGTCCTCTAAAGTGTCCCGATCTAGTGGGAAGAAAGAGAGAGAATAAGTTAGGTCCGAAATCCTTTCTCAGTATTCTGCACATCAAAATTAGATCTCCCATTAGTCTGCAATAGGACAGAGTAAAAAGGTCCAGTTTTTCAAGCCGCTCTTTGTACGATAAGCCCCGGAGTTCTGGAATTGCACGGGTAGCTGCCCTCTGTACTTTTTCTAGTATGTCCGAGTCACCTCTTAATCAGAGGCTTGCAGCCTGAACGCAGTTCTCTAGCTTAGTTCTCACTAAGGATGTGTATACTGTGGTGAACATGGTAGTATCTAACTTAGTGAATGTCCTTTTTAAAGCCCAGAGGGTTCAAAACCCCTTGGCTGTGACCTCCTGGCAATGTGCCGTCGTCTTAAGATCATTACTCACTGTCACCCCTAGATCCTTATGAGACCGGACTACGGGTAATGACACATCCCCTATGTTGTACGTATTAACCTTTGAATCCCCCAAGTGCATGTAGACACACTTTTCCGCGTTAATAGGCATCAGTTACTCTTTAGATCAGTTTATATCGTTATTTAAATCTACCTGAAGAGCACATGCGTCTTTGTCTTCAGTTACTACTTGCCAGATTTTTCGTCGTCAGCGTATAATAACATTGAGGACTTTACTGTACTTGGGAGATCATAAACGTACATCATAAAAAGTAAAGGACCTAAGACGGAACCTTGGGGTACTCCACTAAGTACTGGTCTCCAGATGGAGCGCTTGAAATTTATTCTTAATTTTTGTCTACGACCTACTAGGAAATCCTTAATCCATTTTAAAAGAGGTCCGGCAATACCAAGGTTTGCCAACTTCAGTAGCAGTCTATTAGTTGGCACCTTGTCAAAAGCCTTACTGAAATCTATGTAGACAACATCCATTTAGTTTCCGTTGTCTAGTGCATTAATCCAGAGCTCCCTTGCTATAAGGAGGTTCGTTGTACAGGATAGAACCTTTCTAACACCATGTTGTGCCATGTTCAGCAAGTTACTGGTTTCCATAAATGCCGTTATTATTATTATCAGCTTTATTCAATATTATATTTTTGGTACAATATAGAATTCTCAGCGCAAAGTATTTCAACAAGTTTCCGTTTCCTTCTTTTTGGTCGGTCCTGAAGATAAATATTGAGTGATCGCCAGTTAGATGTAAGCAGTCCACCGAATGAACATCTGAATAATGTGCATTCTTTTCGTTGTATATTGCCAGCAACCACATTGTCTCTTATTGAGTTTTTTGTAACTTTGACAACAAAAGGTTGTACACTTTTCAGAAACGCGGCAGAATAGGTTATGCGACTAATAGACATAACGATATATTAAAACAAACAAAAATAGATAACTTGTTGAAATATCTAGATGGCAGGAATAGGTAGCCCAGATGATCAAGCAGGTCCATTTGATTATTCTTTCCAGTACTTTAATTACAACACTGGTGAGACTTACAGGTCCGTAATTCGATGGAACTTGTCGTGGACCTGTTTTATGTATGAAAGTGACGATTGCGTCCTTCCAGTGCATGAGTAACACACCTTGGTCAAGTGACACATTGAATATCACAGTCAGTGGGGTCGCGATATATTGGGCAATATGTCTCAAGGTTTTGGGGTGTAGTTCATCTGGTTTTGTTGACTTCTCCATGTTTAGGGTGCTAAGAGCCCTAAGCACATCGTTTTGGTGGAAGTCCACGATGAGCGGCTGGCTTGTTGACTCTGTTTGGGTCTGGTTCTTTCTCTAGAGGAGGTTCCTGAGTGAAAACTGCCCCAAAATAGTCAGCCATAGCCTCTGCTTTTTCCTGATCTTCCTCTATCATTTCAGATTCACTTCCTACTTTAATTAGGTTGGGAATCCAATGATGCATCCTTGTTCTGTAGTCTATGTACGGGAATATTCTCTTAGGCTGCTTGAGTGCAGATTGTGCCAGCTGCATTTCATATTTTCTTTGAACTTCCCGAATTTTTGTAATACACTCGTTTCTTATCAATCTGTAGCGTACCATCGTACCTGCTGTGCCAAGGCGGATGGCAACATCCCAACATTTCTTCTTTTGTCTTAGTAAACGTCGAATATCCCGGCCTATCCAAGGATGGCCATGCTCCTTCTTCTTTAGAACTGTCCAGGGTATGTATGGTCGAGTTACCCGATTGTATAACTGCCTGAAAAGGGTCCATGCCTTTTGTACTGATGCCCTTGAGTCAATTTCCCAGTCTTCAGCCGATGCTGCGGAATTAACTGCCTGCATATCTGCCTTCCATATGTTAGGACGGGCCGGCACAACTGTTTGACAGGCAATCTCAGCCATGAATCTGAATAATACGACTGTATGGTCACTTCTCCCTAGTGGTGGGAGGAAGTTCCTCCGACCAACGTTATCACCATGTGTGAAGACTAAATCTAAAAGAGAAGAAGAGTTTCTTAAGTCATATCTTGTGGGGTTTCTAATGTGTTGGAATAAAGCTAATCCAATCGAGGTTTCTAACAGTTTGCAGTCGAACGACGTTATCGATGATCCTACTTCTAAGTTAACCCAGTTTATATACGGTGCATTAAAGTCGCCTACTACAAAGGCTTTTACCCTTGTTACACCAGGACTTAAGTTTACTTAGGAGAAAATCATCTGCTACACATTCTGGACTGCGATATATTACAACTAATTCAATATCCTGCCGTCTACATTTCAGCTTATATCGCACCAGTTCACATGTCCCTGAAACATGTGCCACTGTCTCAACTACTCTTATGGTTAGGGTACTTTTCGTGTACAGGATAACCCCGCCTTCCCTACGGTTTAATGTATCAGCCCTATTGCTTAAAAAACCAGTCAACTGAATTTCATTTTCTTATACTTCTGACGTTAACCAAGTTTCTGAGACAGCAATAACATCCGGTTTTTCTTTATCCACCATTGACTTGAGCTCCGCCATTTTATTTAGTAGGCTGCGAGCATTTGTGTAGCATACCTTTAAGTCTGGGGAGAACTTTCCCTTACCACACAGATTGGTTTGGGGATCGTTTGGCTCAAAACCTTTACAATTTGAAAACCCTTAGGAACGAGGTTTCGTTCCTCGTTTCGGCGACGCTCATTTATTTCCACTTCTGCAGCTCGTCTCTTAATACGATCAACCAGGTTGAGATCCTCACGGACGTTTATTCCGGATCCAATCAGTTTACGTGAGTTACCTAGAATCAGGTTCCTTTCTTCAACCGTGGCAAATGTAATCTTCAAGAGGCGGTTTTTCTGAGGATTTTCGGAATCCACCTTTTGTCCTATTCTATAAAGCTTACAAATACTGACTCCTGAAACTGTATCTGGGATTAGTTTACTTAATGATGTCTTGTTATGATTGAGATCGTGTTCAACTCTCGCATTTGGTTCTTTATCTGGAGATTCTCTTATCTTATGAACAATGACTGATCTCTCAGAGAGATCTGTCTTAATAAGCAGTGATGGTTTTTCTACTGATAACATACCTTCCAATGCTTTGCTGACCAGCTGCGTTTTGCCCACAGCCTTTTTCTTCCTATTTCTTTTTCTCCTTACTGAAGTCCATTTGTCGCCACTCAGGACAGCCACACCTGGACTATGTGGAACGGTGACAGTTTTATTCGGATTTTCTATTTTGGCTAGAGGTGTATGACTACCGATGTCAATATCAGGCGGCACTTCATTGCTCGTTAATGTCAACGGAGATTTCACGTTCCCGTCAGCCACAGTCAGTTGTTTAACGGGTCCAGTAGCAGCACTTACTACACTGACACATTCTTCACCGTCAGTGCTCTTGTTGTCAGTGCTTCCGCCATCGTTTTTTTGCAGGCCAAAGCCAATAGGCCCATAGCTTCCTGAATTAGTACATTTTTATCCGTACAGCAGAACATACAAAGACAATGCGAGTTAGGCTCCGAGTATCTTTGTAAGCCGTCGGACTTAGGCGTGTACACATTTTGTGGTACCACTTTTACAATTGTCACATTGCATTTCCTCCTCAACGGGGAACAAACAATTTGGTTGCCCATATTTGTGAGTCTTACCAACCATTGTAATTTGACTTAAAAGGTTTAAAAACACAAAATGATGACAATGTGAACACAAGTGTTAGTCAAGAAGTAAAAAAAGATACCCAACAGAAGATTTAGCAAAAAATTTCAAACTTTAACCAAAATACTTTTAGTTGAAGTAGACCAAGAATGCTTTTTGTTGCAATAAATACCCAAAGCAAGTATAATCACAACAAGTACAAAAATCACTGCCCGTTTTGAAACGAGCGCGGTAGCGGATGAAGAAATAAATTAAATTATCCTCTGATGCGGGTGTAGAATTACGGGCTAAGATAGTTATCTGGATTTTAATGTGCTACAGCAGCTGCTTGTCTGTTACAGACTCAGTAGAATCGACTGATTTTTGAGGTTTAATTGTTTTTAGGATGGTAATGAAGTAGATTCACAACAATGAAGTTACGTAAATTCACAAGTTTCATGTGGCCAGCAAGTTATGTGGTCCCTCTTATCAAGTCATTAAAAAGAATTTAGAAAGATAGTGAGTTTATAGAAACAACCTAGAATTTTTTGCAACTCCCTATTGGTTGCTATTTTCCTTAGTGGTAGGATTAACAAAGTTATCTGTGCCGCATAAAGATTGACCGTCAAAAGATTGGTAATAAAAGAGGCCGCTTTTATTTGTTCGTTATGGTCCATCGTATAATCGT